ATGATTTCTAATTCAAGTTTTTTTATGGAATACATGTGATTGATTATATGTATATTGCTAATTAGAACAAAGTACACAATTATATGTTGATTACATTACAACTTCTCATAGTAAACACTTAGTATACATGAAATAATGAACATGAGTTACATGTGCATTCATGAATGTAAAAACACATTAAGAATATAAGAATGATTGTTTTACGCACAATTAGACATGATTTGATTTGACCGATTGGCTAAGTTTCATAGAAACTAACTTCTTACATTATATGCAAAGATGGATAGTAGCTAACAGAGAAATCCAGGACACGCGTTTCGTCCTATTTGAGACTCGTCGGCTGGATTTACATGCATCTCAGAGTTGATGTTCACTCTGAGACTCGAACCCAGTATCATTCACTTCAAACGCTATCTCGTTATTCACTTACCTACAGAGTCCTGGTAGCCACTTGCTTGTGCAATCGCGTGAAGTTTAAATTCACATGTTATTGTTTGCTTGAATCTTCCCATTGTGATTTAAGACTGCAATTGATCAGTCTGTTATTAGCATATGTGCATACTGTGCGTATCGCTTTGATATAGCCTTAATTCACAAGCATTATATGCAAAGATGGATATTGGCTAGTAGTGGAATCCAGGACACGCGTTTCGTCCTATTTGGGACTCGTCGGTTTTTGAAATGATCGAAATATTCCATCTCGATAAATATTATCTAGGAGTCGATATTCGTAGATGATAGATGACTGGCAGCAAGTTTTTAATCAACTAAGATTTTGTGTTATATAGCTCATATGCTCCCTCCGTGATTCGAATTACCTGTGTTATCCAGCTCTAGAGAATGAGACGTTATTCAGGTAGAGATTGACCTCCAGTAGTATAACTGAGTTATTCAAAATCAAATTCATATAGAAACTAATTTGTATATGGTCATACGTTATCAGTTTAATACATTAATCAATCATTTTTATTATAGTATCTAGTTATTTGTCCCTAGTCTCGATGCACATTGCTGAAGAGTTTCATTACTGGGTAGAAACGGTCATCTAGAACTTTCATCTTTTCTGTGATCGTTTAGCTTAGATTGACTGGTGATTTTAATTGTGAAAATTCTACCGTCTTCACAAATCCCCATATTGATTTATTTATTTATCTGATCTTTATTTGTAAATGGTTCAAACAGTACTATTCTATACTTCATGGAAGCGCTTTCGAACAAAACATATACTTGCGGTTCTTAAGGTAACTTGTCAAAAAAATGAATTCAACAACTTGGATTACAATGAAATAAGGAATGGTATATTATTGAAATATTGTTGATATACTTACTTATATACGTTTGTTAACCCTCATGGAGGAGCATAAGCCAACTATCAACATTCTCTAATCAACTCTGTCTTGAGTAATTCTTTTCAATTGTTTCCAATTCCTATTCATCTTTTACATGTCTATTTCGAATACTCTACACAATGTGTTCCTTGATCTTATCCTTTCCTTTTCCTATCAAGATTCTAAGTTGGCACTTCCCTCGTGATCCAATCCTATGATTTCCTCAATGTCATCTTTTCCTGATTTCCTCTTTAGTTAGAAGTTGGTTTGTTCTTTCCCATAGTAGACTGTTGCTTATGGTATCCGGCCAACAGACATAAAGTATCTTGTATAGACAATTGTTTATAAATACTTGTGCCTTTTTTATGATGTTTGTGATAGTTCTGGAAGTTTCAGCTTCGTATAGTATGACTGTCTTGACGTTTGTATTGAAGATTCTGATTTTGATGTTGGTTGAAAGTTTTTCTGGATTCTATATGTTCTTTAGTTGTAGGAATACTATCCTTCTTTTGTTCATCGATGAATCTCCCTAGATAAGTGGAAGTTTCCACCTGTTTTAAAGTTTATCCATCATGTATGAAGACGTTAGTGTTCTTTGTGTTGTATTTGAGGATTTTGGTTCTTTCTTTGTGTATGCTGAGGCCTACTATTTCAGTGGCTGCCGTTACATTGTCTGTTTTTACATGCATTTGTTCGCGTATGAGATGGAAGAGCTAGGTCCATTTCGTCTAGCTGCACCTAAGCTGTTTATTGTACAGTACCATGGAAGATGGTCGCGGATTAGTTGAGGTTAGATATTAACACAGTTGGATGCTGGCTCAGTGGTCTAGCGGTTAAGCGTTCGCGCTCAAGGCTGTAAGTTGTGGGTTCGAATCCCACTAGCGGGATCGTGGAGTCCCACAGTAGGACAAAACGGCCGTCCAGTGCTTTCAGTTTTTCAATGGTAGTCTAACATCAATCGGTTCATGATCTCAATCAAAAACCTCCTAGGTCCTATTACACACTACAAGCTAGTTATTCTGTAATATTAAAATTACATGATTTCGATAATAACCGGAACACACAACTGTTAAAGTTATTTAAGAAATGAGAAATACCTGTAAGAAGAAACATGCATAGACTTATACTTGTAGAATGAGTTCGCATAAACATTGTTATTAAACGATTGAATTTATAATCTCATTTAACTCATTTTAACCGTGATTACATCATCTACCAGTTGTAGGAGCGGTTACTATGTCAAACCTACATTGTTTATTCTAGCTTATGGACAAGCTAGTTTATCCATTCTAATCAAGCTACATTTTGTATATGTTAACTATTGGCTTATCAACCTTAACTGTATTTATATGAGCGCATATATGTGTGCCCTTCTTATCTTATGTACTATATGTCTGTAACTTATTTTTGTGTGACTATAAATATTGATTCACTCTTGGAGTTGGCTCACACGCCTTTGCCAACCTGCTTCGTTCTTCCATCTTTGTTTCATCGCCTTGATTGCCTGTTCAAATCAGTGATGTGTCCATGAGATATACATATTCAAAATCTATTCTCGTATTTGGCTTATTTAATTCCTTTATTCACTAACGCGGATTAAGTCGATAATCCTATACGAGAATTAGCGATATATATATATGTATATTTCGACAGCAATTATTCATACGATCTAAATAATGACAGATCCTGGGTCACAAAAAAACACAAACATGAACCAAAACAAAGAAGTAAACAATGACGGGTTCAAGGTCAACAAGAACTAATCTAATATCGAGGTGTACAGGACAAACTGTGAACCACATGTGTAGAAATCTGAACATTTCAATTCTACATGAAGTTTGTGCTGATGATGTCGTTCAGAAGAACGATACAAAGTTCCATAATCAATCATACTGAGGACCAATAAAGACTCAGAGTAGATACAGGCTTGCTAGTACTTGTTGATGTGTTATTAGTTTAGTAGAGGGACAGAATCATATAAGTCGGTATTCTGATTGGTGACTTCATCACATGATAATAGATAGAGCCATAAATTGTAACAGTATTGTATTGCATCATTTTGTTGTCATATACATACTTCTTCATTCTTCGAATTCTGTTGTTATTCCATTGCTTCACTGTTTCCCTTTACCGATCTCTTCAATTTAATCTTCTTCTAACAGGTTTTACATTTCGGATTGCGGCTACATACTACTTATATCTTTCAATATAAGTAGTCTATATCATAGTCATATAATTATCTAATTTCTTTCGTTACTTTTCATCATAACTATGTAAAAAGTGGAAAATTCTGTTTTTCTTTCATCATTAATTATTCATTGTTATAAGTTCTAATTGGGCGTGATTGACTATCTCAATTACAAGATAAGATGATTTATCTTTGAAAAGCTTATAATCATGCATAAACAGTGTAAACATAGTAACCAGACAAACTTCATCAGTGTTTTTTTTATCACATGATAACCCAAAAACTAATGAGAAAATAATAGTTTAAGGAGGCTTGACGTTGGTGTATTGGTCATTGGCATATAGATATTCATATAGAAGGCTGTGGAGATTACTGAATCTGTGGTTTTGTATTTATTTATTAATATTTACTTGAACACATAGGTATTGGTATAAAAGGGGCACCGAATAGATATGCACTACACAAGTCACTTTGTTTGTGTGTGGCTTATGATACTGATAGGGAGCTCAAACCGAAGTAGGTGGTTTTTTAGGGGGCCACACTCAGAGCCTTCGACTTAAAGGTCTGATTCACAAGACAGTTGAGCAGCGTAAGAAGATGCAGTCCCATAGTAGCCGGCAATCAATGATTGGTTCAGACGCGTTTTTTCCTTCAGGATACTAGAGTCCATGTGTACCATTAGTTTGGAATGATAGTTTTCCAACTCCCCTATGTGTATACTCCATATCCACCAACCCAATTATAGCGCCGAACATTCTCTTTCCGTCCTCTCAATTTCGTAAACAATAGTAATGCCGCGAGAAGGCTGTGAGTAGGAATTCCCTGGCAGTGGCTGTATACGTATGTCCATGTGAGAGTATTTCGGGAAAGAGAGCTGACTCTCCTCACCCTTGGCCGTTCCAGTACATTTGGGAGCAGTTTTTTTTTTATCATGGACTGACTTAAGTTAGATATCCATTAAAAACCAGAAGGCATTTGACAAATATTTCGTCATAGAATTGGATTTTTTAAGGCAGTTTTCATCTTTTGTTTTAACCAGAGATTGAACTGAACACCTTCAGGGTATTTAGCAAGTATTTGACGTTCAGACTGTTGAGTTTATCTTCGTTGGTTTACAACTTACAGTATTGCAAAACCTTCGTTCATACGTAATACTACAATTAATGAAGGTAGAAATATACTAGATTGAAGTGTCTTTTTGTTTGAAGGTGTGTTTTATTATTGTCATATAGGCATATTAAATACATGGAATGGATCTAGCATTTGAAAAATAGGATACTTGTGTATTGTTATTTGAAACTTGTCAGTTGAATGTACCTGCATACCAAAGTTGATATTCACTCTGGAACTTCAATCTAGTACCGTTCGTTTTAAATACCACTAAGTTATCCACTTAGCTAATAAGCTTCAATAACCACTCACTTGCAAAGTAATTGAAAAAAACATTTTCGTACACTCTTTTTTTCTTTCTGTATTTTCATTAGGAACTGATGAACATCGTATCATTAATGTTTTGGGTTATCGTAATTCTATTCAACGAATTCAAATAGGAGAAACGTTTAAAGCAATGTATGGAAAGGTAAATTGATAGTAATCATAATTGTGTGTTACTTACTTACTTACGTCTGTTACTCCTCATGGAGGAGCATAGTCCAACTACCAGCACTTTCCATCCAACCCTGTCTTGCCCAATCCTTTCCAGTTGTCATTTATCTTTTTCATTTCTGCTTCTATTTCCCGACGTAATGTGCCATTTGACCTTCGTCTTTTCCGCTTCCCTTCAAGATTCCAAGTTAGGGTTTACCTTGTGATTCAGTTCGGTGATTTCTGTATTGTATGTCCTATCCACTTCCAATGTCTTTTCCTACTTTCCTCTTCAGCTAGAAGCTGGTTTGTTCTCTCCAACAGAAGGCTGTTGCTGATGATATCCAGCCAATGGATGTTGAGTATCATGTGTAGACAACTATTTGTAAATACTTGTACTTTGCTGGTGATGGTTGTAGTACTTCTCGAAGTTTCAGCTCCGTGTAGTAAAACTGTCTTGACGTTTGTATTAAAGATTGTGACTTTGATATTGGTTGAAAGTTGTTTTGAGTTTCATATGTTCTTCAGTTGTAGGAATGCTGCCCTTGCTTTGTCAACTCTTGCATTCACATCTGCATCAGATCTCCCTTGTTCATTGATGATGCTTCCTAGATATGTGAACGTTTCCATCTTTTCCAGAGTTTCTCCATCATGTGTGAATGGGTTGGTGTTTTTTTGTGTGTTGTATTTGAGGATCTTGGTTTTTCCTTTGTGTGTGCTGAGTCCTAAAGATTCGTATTATGTAAACATTGTATATTAGTACAGATAAATTAAGAAGTAATTGATGATGGAGTTCGAACTCCAATAAACAGATTGTATCACTTTATAGAGTTTGTAAAGATTATAGAATTTATAGCTTTTTTATTATGAAACACCATGATTGAAAACCTGGCATTATTTTACATACCGTTGGATACCTGGCCAGTGGTCTATGTAATAAGACCGAAAGTCCTGAGATTGATTCCCAGATAAAGGATTATGAATGCGTAATCCTGAGCAGTTTCATACTAAGATGAAACGATCGTTTAGTGCTTTCAAGTACTCAGTGGTGATTTAGGTCTTAATTCCAATATCAAATTGTGATTGTATGTTTGAAAAATTCTTGATCAACTGAAATCTGTTCAACATGATAGTATTCACTAGTTGATTCATAGTTCAAGTAAGACCTGAAACCAATTACAAGAAGCTAATAAATAACAACAAAGTAAATGATCATATATAGAAGTAGGATTATCAAAATATCAGAAGGGGTTTTTATGGATATTATAGTGATTGTAATGGTTGAGATCATGAGTCGATTGAAGCTAGACCACTATGGAAAACCTGGAAGCACTGGACGGCCATTTCATCCTAGTATGGGATACTTCAACAGTGCTCATCGACAATCCCGCACTCCTTGAACAGTAGATTCCGATCCGTATCGAGTCTGAGACAGTTATCCATCTGAGGCAATGAATGAAGAGTTGCTCAAGACCATGGATCGATTGACGTTTAGTGGTCTAAAGATTTAAGCATTTGCTCGCACCACAGAAGGTCCTGAGTTCAAGTCTCGCGAACCTCACGTCCTGCATCTCAATACTGACCATTATTCAACTTTAATAAAAAAAATATGAAACTTAATATAAGGGTTTCTTAATGAATGCATTCAATTCTATTATAGCGTAGAAATTTATCTCAACTATAAAAGCAACTTATAGGCATTTTTATAGTTAAATTCAAAAGTCAATCTAAGTTACATCACTACTGAAAACTTGACATCACTGAATGACCGTTTCGTTCTAATATGAAACTCCAGTAATTCCAAACCTTCATTGATGATCTTACTTTAAATTGACTTGTCAATTCAATTATGAAAATACTAAAATCTTTAAAAAACTGATCTCTTCTTGTAGTGAGACTATGATTAGGTGACCTTTAGAATGTTCGCCTAGTAAATAGGACCGAATGAGGGTTATAAACCAGTATGAGTGTTATAATTTGTGACCGCCGATTGGAGAGCAATGGATTATCGATCCGACCAAGGATGCGTAAAACACGTGCGAGCAGCCTAGACTTCTGATTGGTTCTGCTTCCTGCCTAGCCCAGCCAGTTAAGTCCAGAACACCAATCTCAGCCTCTGCAATATGAATAGTTTAGTTATTTACCAATTATACAATAAAAATATACGTTTAGTATTGATCCATAAAAGGATCCCCAAATTACCTTTCATTATGTTTATCGTGACTTAACAATGAGAAACTAGAATTATGATTTACAGTTGATGGTTAAGTTTAGGAATTAGATTTTTGAAGGGATTTACATCATGAATTGACATTAACTATAATACTAAAATGCTATTGGACCGAATGAATTACGCGCGAAAATCCAACACCTGTTACCTTAAATCTGATTGGTTCTTTCATAAATTATAGTTTCGCGCTTCTTATCGTTTTAACAAAATATAATTCAATGTTTCAATTGTTTATATAAAACATTTAATAAATATATTTTTCAATTTTTTTTGTTTTAAAATAGGATTTAATAGATGAATTATCTAGTGAAACAAGCGGTCATTTTAAAAAACTACTTAAAATGTTATTAACTGATATAGATATAGTGAATGCACGTGCATTATATAAAGCAATTAATGGTGCAGGTACTGATGAAGAAACAATTATTGAAGTTTTATGTACATCAACTAATACTGAAATTGAAAATATTAAACAAGCATATCAATATGGTAAGTAGATTTAAGTAGTCTGTTTAATTAAGATAATAAAAAAATGTATTATAATAACGTTGACGTTTGACATAAAAATTGTTGGATACCAACTGGCTCAGTAGTCTAGAGGTTCAGTGTTCGCATGCAAGACCGATAGGTTCTGGTTTCGAATCTAGTAAGGCAGGATCGTGGATGTGCACTGTTGAGGAGTGCCACTATTGGATGGAACGGCCATCCATAACTTCTAAGTTTCGAATGGTAGTCTAATATCAATTGGTTCATGATCTCAATTATAAAGGTTTTGTTGGAGTATTCTCAATTGGATCTCTCATCAAAATCTTTAAATACTTAGAAATGTCAAGGAATGTTTTATCCAGTTAACGTTGAATAGAATCTTAGCAGAAATATCTAAGAAATGCAGAATCATATCTTTTGTGTTCAAATTTTCATGTAGATTTAGCCAATGGTTATTAGCAAGTGGCTAGGAAATCACTTTTGAAGTACATTAATCTTACACCTTAATAATAAAATATTCTCAACTTGTTTTCCATCCTTCTAAGCATACTTGAGAGTTATCAAAATTTAGACTCTTTAGATGTCTTGCCACTGTTTTAAGCTTCATACCTACTGGAATCTTTTCAATTGATAGAGTTTTATTCTCTCACCTGGATAGTTTGGTCATGGAGCTTTCATCGTTCTTTTGAACGATGTCATCAACACAAACTTCTGATAGAACTTCTACCATAAATCTCAGAGAACAAAACTTCATCAAAATCATCCACTTGAGTTACAAGTCTTCTTCATCATCTCAAAATCTTTTCAATAATTTCCTAATATCATATAGTGCATTAGAGTTGGAAGTTACATGACTAAAATAAAGTATTTGAAACAACAGCGATTTGTCTTAGAATGATAGTTGGATACATTGGATCAATCATTAACCGCTAAATGATAAACGCACATGATTGGCCAACAAATAACTTTCATGACTAACAAATGAGACATGCATCATTGATGGATTAGTTCTTTGAGGGATATATATATATTAATAGCTGAGATCATGAGTCGACTGAAGCTAGACCACCATGGAAAACCTGGAAGCACTGGAGGGCCGTTTCGTCCTGCTGTGGGACTCCTCAGCAGTGTGCATCCACGATCTCGCCTAGCGAGATTCGAACCCAGGGCCTATCAGTCTCGTGCGCGAGCGCCTAGCCATTAGATCACTGAGCTGGTCGGTATCGACCAGTGTTCATGTCTAACTTCAACTAATCCACGACATTGAATGACACATCCACCATTGTCTTCAGTGAATTACTATCTCACAACAGACCCGGTTGAATTCCACAAAACCCCTTCTGATATATATATATATATATATATATATATATATATATATATATATATATATGTACTTCTCACTCTCAGTCTTTTCACTTAAGCAGTCAGTCGGAGTCGTGTACTGAGAGTTTACTTATCATTTTCAAACTCAAGGACCACAAATCATAGTAATAACTCTTTCTTTGTTCTAACTGTTCAATTTTGAAGTCCGAATATTGTTTAGTGAGACCAAGATTATTTAGAGTATCTTGACATCCAGTGACGTTTTTTTTCTTTGATAAACTCTGACGTCCATATATAGCTGGAGTACAACGATTGTTATTAATACATGGCTAGGACGTCTTCTGTTTGTTGATATATTCAACATTAGATTGATCAATTTGTGAGTTTAAAAGTCTTCTTGAATTGAGACTATTCTCTACATTCCATAGTCCGGTATTTTAAGCAATGAATATTAAATTTGATTATCAATCAAAGTGTTGAGGTGATCGAGAAAACTCCTCGAAAAAAACCCTGGAAAGGATTCTGAAAACACTGAGAAGCATCTTATTCAATCAATGTTCACTAGAAGTTTTGTCAGAAACATTTAGAAAGTGATTGCATAGTTTACTCATACTGTTACTAGGTTTAGTAGCATTCGAGAATTTTCGGAAAACCTAAAGACATCCTGAATACTATAAAAACCTCAGATTTTCTGTAAATAAACGTACCTTTCGAGTAAAGTATATTTCCATATTTCCCACCTTTTCTCTTGTGCTCATGTTGCTGGGTAGATTTAACATATGAGAGGTGGTTACTAGAAGAACTTAGGAAACCAAATCTACGTATTCAATTACAAAACGTGTTATGTATTCATGCATAAAAACGTAGATTTAGCCTAACGGTTACTAAAAGAGTCTAGGAACAGAATCTAGCGTTCAGTTAGCAAGATGTATCAGAAAGACAACAACTGGATGGGAACACACTTAACTGATAAATTCTAAAAATGCGGTAAAACGTTTATCTTGAATGACGTTTTTTTTTGCATCTGATTTTTTTTCAGTCCTAAAGGCTTATGGAGTCAGCGGTAAGTCAAATTGTATAATTAACATAACACTGAATGTTTCCATTGTCAATAATGAGTTGATTAGAAAAGATTAAGTATCCATGTCAATGATAACACTGATTAGTAGTAGTCTTAACAATAGTTGATAACTATGTAACACTGCACAGTTCTTTTGCTTGAATATGTATTTTCATTGTTGAAATTAAGAGTCTATCTAAGCTAGACCACCAGTGAAGCACTGATGAGACTCTTCAACGGTGCGCATCCACGATATCGCGTGAACGCTTAACATTTAGATCGCTAAACCGGCATCTAATGTTATTAATATCTAACTTCAATAGATTAATGAACTTGCACATCCCTTCATCCATTGTCTGTGATGAATAACTCTCTCACACCCGACACGGATTGAACTCCACTGATCACGGCTTCTAACTACAACTACAGTATATCCATCTTGAATTCAGTCACTAGTGAGCACATGAAAATTATGAGAATGGGGATTTGTCAAGATTGTAGTATTTTTAACAGTTGAATTCACGAGTTGATGTAAGCTAGAACACCATTGGAAACCTGGAAACACTGAACTTCGGATTTATCTTAGTATGGGACTCCTCAGCAGTGCGCTTTAATATGTGACTATCTACAATATCTCATTAAGGCTCAAACTCACTAATTCTGAGCGCAAACCAGTTCGTGATTACAACCTTGAGTATATATATACATAGTTGCTATAAGGCCAATTAAAATACGTTCAAACTGCTTGTTAAGAATTAATGATAATGATAACTAATGATGATAAAAACATGTACAAAATCATTTCATGAAGCTCTAGAGGGAACTCATAACAGGTGGACGTTGCCCATTCTGTGAGTAAAACAATGCTCGTTAATGACGCTTGAAAATAATCGCTCAATATATAACGAATTGATGGAAGTTAAAAGTATATTCTCACAAGAGACTGACTAATTGCAGTCCTAAAGAACAATGGGAAGATACAAGCAAACCACACCAAGTAAGGTTAGAAACGATCGTCCAGTGCTTCCAGGTTTATCATGATGGTCTAGCTTCAATTCACTCAAGATCCCAACCATTGAAATTAGAGGTATATGTTTAAAAAAACACAGCTAAGTGATAGACCGTTTGAATACACTGAGTATTACCTGAACTTCATTGGTATTTACTATTGAGTAGTCTTACACTAGTAAGAAGCAAATGTACAATCTTACCTATTTATCAATGATACTTGTACTGAAGTCAATTCGCGAAGAATACAACCAACAAATTCAAATTCATTATTATCTTGGTTTTTCTGTTTTATGGATATGTTACTGAATAATAGTAAGTAGTTTGACACATATTTAGTCCTAATAGAAAAACGAACAGAAGAAAATGATCTCATTGTTTTATCAAAATCTATAAAAGAAACTAATTGGTTTACATAATTGGTCAATTATTCACTAGTTACAGTGTTAGGCTTTATGAATTATGTGGCTTGAAAGAAATCTTCCTCTTTTCATTGTGCTCTTGATGCTACGACTGATACCCGGACACCTGTCGACTCATAGTTGATGAGCCTTAACTACCTATTGTGTTCCTTTAAGTAAACCTGTTTTTAGATAACGTTTGGTTCATGGTTCTTATTTAAAACCCATTTAAAAAGTTCAAATTTTTGTGCCGATATATCAGTTGATGTTTCATAGTTTTAAGGTCCTCATCAGTAACCACACTAAGGTCTGTTTTCACTGGAAGTTATTTACGGTAGGGAATGGATAAGGGTTACTCGATATCGTGAATAAGTTGAAGTTATATATAAATGCCCTTGGATACCGGCCCAGTGGTCTAGAGGTTAAATGTTCACACGAGACCAAGAGTCGTTCCTTTGATTGCCACGTACGGGATAGTGGATGCTCACTGCTTCAAAGATCCCATCCTAGGATGAAACGGGAGTCCAGTGCTTTTAAGCTCTCATTAAGGATCTAGTTAAATTACTGAATAACTTAGTCTGTTGTGAAGATTAATAGACATTGATATTTGTTTCAACATAACTATACTATATATTTTCAATAGTTGAGATCATGAGTCAATTGAAGCTAGACCACCACGGAAAACCTTGAAGCACTGGACGGTCGTTTCTTCCTATTACGGGACTCCTCAGCAGCGCTTCTAAGTTTTCCATGATTGTCTAACTTCAACTGACTCATAATCTCAACTATTGAAATTACTACAATCTCCACAAAACCCTTTTCTTATACTATGTATTGTTGTTATGACAATATTCTGATAACTTTTTCAATAATAAAAATGAAATTATACTTTTAAAAATAGATCCTAGAAGAACTTTAGAAAGTGATGTTCAAAATGATTTAAGTGGACATTTTCAAAATCTAGTCGTTGCATTACTTCAAGCTAGTCGTGATGAAATTTCATATGAAGATGTTGAAAAAATTAGTACAAAAGGATTGAAAAGTATAGTGAATATGAATCAAGTTGAACAAGATGTTGAAACATTATGGGATGCTGGTGAAGCGTAAGTAGATATTTCTTTAAAATTAATTAAGATCATGAATGGATCAATGTTAGACCATCATTGAGAGAACCTGGAAGCATTGAACGAATGTTTCGTCTCAGTATAGGATTCCTCAGTAGTAGACATTCATGTTCAGTGCTTCCAGGTTTTGTAATAGTGATCTAACATTGATCTGTTCATGATCTCAATTAATAAAAAGTTTGTTTTCATTTGTGATAGTTGATTCTTAATCAAAGAAATGATTGAAGTGTAAATCAACATTTTAGTTAACTGATTAGTTGAAACAATCTTATTGGCTAACTATTTCTCATTGAACCAATCAGCACAAACCTATTCATTATATTATAGAAGTAGTTTTCAATTACTTGGAAATGTATATAATGATTGATATTGCTGTAAATGTTAATTGTTCTCAGTCATAGATTAATTTCGATCTACCGATATCATGGGGTTTATTTAGGCATAAAGTTCTTGAAGTATCAATAATTTATAGGTTTCCGTTTGGATTACTATGTCACATTCCACTCTTACTTATTAACGCCTGTTACTACCAGTGGAGCATTGGTCGCCGATCAGCATTCTCAAACTCACTCTGTTCTAGGTCTTCTTTTCTAGTTCTATCCAATTGTTGTTCATTCTTCTCATGTCTGTGTCCATTTCTCGGCGTAACGTGTTTTTTGGTCTTCCTGTTTCCCTTTGGCTTTGAGGATTCAAAGTGAGGACATTCCTTGTGACGCAGTTGGATGATTTCCTCCATGTGTATTCTATCCACTTCCAAAACCTCTTCATGATTTTAGCCTCCATCGGAATCTGGTTTGTTCTCTCACACAGTAAGTTGTTGCCGATATTGTCTGGCCAACGGATCCGAAGTATCAAAAATATTTGGAATAATGGATGAATTTACGACGTCAACTTAGATGTAGGTTTCATCGGGATCACAAACATTTGTTACCTGAATAAATATTGGAAATCTAAAGAGTTCGAATATCCGCTTCACCCTAACATGGGACTCCTCATCAGTGTCTATCTACAACATCCTAACTGAGAATCAAGTCGAGGATATTCCGTTTCACAAGCAAACGCTTAAACGTCACAACCATCCTTGCTTACCTGGTAGATAGGGAATATCTCGGTGTTAAGTCCCAATCAATTTATCAAAAGAATGAAGATGTATCACTGGAACTTAGGAAATTTTTCTTTATAGTGGCTAGCAGGATACACGTTTCGTCATATTTGAAACTCGTCAGCTGAATATGGCTTCATCCTATAGTTGAATAGCTACTTCCAACTACTTACCCAACCTTTTAGTACACTAACTGAAATTTGATAACATTTTAATGTTAGGTTTCAAGCTAACACAAGTTCACTTGATCTGCGAACGAGAACAAAGACTCAGTGACCAAGACCAGTAAGCTAGCTATTCCATGCGTTCCAGCTCCGCTAACTAGAGGGAGAAGTCCAAGCAGCGAATGGGAAGTATATTCTGCGAAACAGCCATAAACGAGTGATAACGACAAACACAATTCAAAACGTATATATATACAGTGCAAAACCGTCCTTGTGGAGAGTTACCAAATAGCATACAAAAAGACGCAACGGACCAATAGCATTTAAGATATTTCTCAAGTGGGAAATATGACATGAAGTTGGCAAGAGCGCCTTTGGCGCGGAAACAAAGAAATTCAAAATTCTCTAAATAAAACAACAAAATTAGGTCCTTTCTCAAGTGAGTTCTGGGGATCTAACGTCCCCAATAGTTAAATCTCATTACGTTTATTTATTGTATGAATGGACAAAATAAAGGTGTTAGTGATTTGATTTAACCATAAAATGTAATAATGAGAGCACTTTTTCTTCATAGGCAAATTATTAAATTCTCTATTTATGTATTTTCTTAAATATCAGTTGTGTTTTTTATTGATTCCTGTAGACATCTAGGAACTGATGAATCTGCTATCATTCGAATTATAACCGGTCGAAATGTTTGGCATTTACAAGAAGTTGCTCGTCTGTTTGAAAAGGTTTGTCTTATCTCTATGCAACACTCTGTATATACATGTATTCACCTAGGTCAAATCTTTAGTTACTCGTATTTATATGGTAATGGAAGTAATGTCTGTGGTCTTTGAGCTGTGAATCTTTCTGAGTAGTGTCATCAATATGTATCTTAAAGAAAAGTGAACTATTAGGATTTCATCAGAATTGACTAATAGCCTGTTTTTTTTTGCCTTGGAATTTGATTGACTGTTATCTACTAACTGTATTATCATAGTACGAAACGACCGTCCAATGCTTTTAGGTTTTCCATAATGTTCTAGCTTCAATGAACTCATGAATTCAACTATTAAAATACATATGTGTTACATAAATCATTCAATTTGTGTAATGGGCTTGAATACTGACCGGTTACTGAAACCAAATCAGGTTTTGTAGATGAAAAGTTATTGTATATTAATTGAATATTGAAAAAAAAACGTTCTGCTACAAATTCATAGGGATCTCAACAGTTGAGATCATGAGTCAATTGAAGCTAGACCACCATGGGAAACATGGAAGCACTGGGTGACCGATTCATCATACTGTGGGACTCCTCAGCAGCGTGCATCTACGATCCCACCTCGCGAGATTCGAACCCAGGACCTATCAATCTCGCACGCGAGCGCTTATCCATTAGACCACTGAGCTGGTCGTCATCGAACGGTGTTAATGTCTAACTTCAACTAATCCACAAAATTGAGCGACACATCCACCATTGTCATCAGTGAGTTGCTACCTCACAACTGACCCGGTTGAAATCCACTGGTCACTGCTTCTCACTAGAACTCCAGGATGTATCTCTTGAAGCCAGTCACTAGTGAGCATATGTTGATTAGTATCATAAGAGGTTTTGTGAAGATTGTAGTAATTTCAACAGTTGAGATCATGAGTCAATTGAAACTAGACCACCATTGAAAACCTGGATCTATTTTGTCTTTAATAATATTCAGTTGATATTTCGCTTTTTCATTTTATTCATAGAAATATGATAAAACATTGGTCGATTCATTAGCGTCTGAAACATCTGGAGATTTTGAAAGTGCTCTTTTATTAACCTGTAAGATAATCATTATAATATCTATTGTTTATTTCAATGAATTTATCCAATCCATTCATTTGTAACAGTAATTCATAACAAACAGAGATGATGATGGCTAACAGTTGAATCCAAGATGTGCGTTTCATCCTATTTGAAACTCATCGATTGGATATATTTGAATCCTATAGTTTATGTTTACTTCAGGACTTAAATCCAATACCTTTCTTTCCAGACACCATCACGTTATCCACTTAGCTACTGAATCTAGATAGCCACTAGCTTATATAGTGATGTGAAGTTGAATTCATCGTTGTATTGGTTTTTTTAAATCTTCTCATTGATGTTTAAGACTGCAATTGATTAGTCTCTTATTAGCATATTTGCACTTTTTGTGAATTACCTCGATATTACCTTAATTCACAAGCAATATGAGCAGAGATGGATAGTGGCTGACAGTGGAATCCAGGACTCATGTTTCGTTCTATTTGGGACTCGTCAACTGAGTGTGCCTCCATCTCAGAGTTGATGTTCATCCTGAGACTCGAATCCATCAGTGTTCGATTCAAACACTATCGTGTTATCCACTTACATAATGAGTTCAGATAGCCATTTGTTTGTACAATGTGGTGAAGTTTAAATTCACTTGGTATTGTTTACTTGTATCTTCCCACTGTTATGCAGGAGTTTAATTGATCAGTCTCTTGTTGGTATATGTGTATCCTGTGCCGACTGCCTCGATATTGCCCTACATCACAACGTTTATAAACAAAGATGGATAGTGTTAAGCAGTTAAAACCATGAGTCTTCTACTTTAATCACCTCAAAGAGCAGTTTCATATCCAGTTAACAATTTATACTGTCCATAAAACACCCAGGTTGAAATAGGTGATTTTTTAGCGAATCATTCCTGTCATCATTTATCATTGAGGTTTAATTCACAAAATTGCTTGATCACTTCAGGAGATTCACTTCAAAGATAACCAGTAACGAAACTTTATTCCTATGCCATTCATTCACTTGTATCCTGGAGCCTATTTGTGCGAACTATGGATAGCCCAACTTCTTTTAAATAAACCCTCACACGATCAACCAAATACCTCTGCTACATAAAAGGAGTGAGTAGAGGTTCCTGCTAGCGACTATAAACTTGTAACCATAGAAGAACACTTCAAATGGGACAAATCTCTCCACACACACTCTCTCTCTCTGTATTCTAGGGATCATTGAAACCAAGAGAAATTAGACAATGGTTCAAGTCTCTTCAAGATATTCAATTATACTAAATCACCTACTTAGCTAACGTTAAAGAATTCATATCGTCAAGTATTAACTTAATGATTGAATTGAGACATGCTTATCCATTAATGTTGACAGATATAAGTAGTATGTAACACCAATCGGAAATAGAAAACCTGACATCAGAACTCTAAGATGATTGAGTTAAAGAAACGCAGAATAGGGAAGTAGAGAGGGATTGTGTAGTGAATTAATCATATAGAATGTGACGGACAATTGAGGGGAGATTTGCAAATAAAGTATTTAGTGTATAGTTCTTATATTTGACCAGAATATTCTGTAGTTTTGTATTACACTGTAAATTGGTTTCCTCTTTCCCCCACCTCTCTGTATTGTCGTTCATTACACTAGTAAGGTGATACATACTTGATAGATTGATCTGTGGTTGAGTATCTACTATTGAATAAGTAGATCATTATTTGTTCCGTGCTGACTAGCTTTCAATCATACTTTTATTATTGTCTTTGTCAATTGTTCATTTACTTCTTTAATATTTCTTTTGAATATATAGTAAATACTTGTTTAAATCGTCCAAAAGCTTATTCTGATTTATTGTTGAAAGCAATGAAAGGTGCCGGTACCGATGATTGTACACTAATGCGTATTATTGTGACAAGAAGTGAGGTAAGTATTAAAGGTAATGGATTAAATATAACCTTGTATGTGTTGTGATGGACAAAGTTCGAATCTATAACCGGTACACTATGTGCTCTGTGCTAACTCCCTCAACTGACTAGTTGATTGAGAACACAAGTGTGAGCGGAAAAGTATATTTGGCTACCAAATAAAATGCACAAATATATATATATATATATATATATATATATATATATAACTCTACCCCTCAGAAAATCGATCTATTTCTTAGCCAGTAACATTCAGTTGTCCTTCAAGTTACTTTTCATTGCCATCGAATGACCTTCTCATTTGGCTACTTCTGATTGACTCACCATACCAGTATGTTGTTGAACTACAAGAAAAAAGCCCTGGGTTTGAATCCCGCGAGCGGAATCGTGGATGCGCACTGCTGAGGAGTCCTACAATAAAACGAAACGGCCCTCCAGTACCTCAAAGTTTTCACTGGTGGTCTAACATCAATCAGTTCATGATCTCAATCAAAAAGAAAAAAAATTATATTAAACACACTAGACTCCCACATAACCTATTCATAAACGAGCATAGACTGAAAGGTCAACAACACAATGCGTCTTTACTCACATCACTCTTCACAGACTGTTATAGATATAGAATTCAACTGTAAAGATGAATCAAGAGAGATAAAACATTTCAAGGAAATTCCTAAGAACCTGACATATAGGTTAACCTATAGTCAATAGACATTTCGATAGAGATTCATTTCATCGTATCGTATCATTGTTGGGGTAATACCATTTCTAATGAGATTTAGTACAAGAGTAAAGATGTAAGGCGATAAAGAAAGTCGGCAAGATTATCATTCACAAACAAAATAATCTAAAGTAATTCATACAGGATTTGCGGGACAAATTTAAAACGTTCACTTTTGTCAGACGTATTTGCTAAGAATCTTATTTAAAGCGACAATATAAGCCATAGAAACACTATATTTAGATCTTTCTCTTATATATTACCACCTTTGACCTAACCACTCCTATGAATCCGGTGTCCATCTTTCTGTGCTAGTGCGGTATGGCAACCTGGACCGATGCATATATGTGCCTGGTCCTACGTTGTAGCTGACTGACTGACTGATATTTAGATCATACAACAAAACACCATTGAATACACGGTTGAACCATATTCGATGTCTATCCATGTGACAAAGTGATATGTATTGAACTCTTCAAAAAATCGATGTATACACTTCAAATAAAAAGGTAAGCGTACTTCAAAGGTTTCTAAAGAATATAATATTGGCCAAACGGACAAGAAGAACCCAATCAACCTTTAAAATCTAATCATTCAAACGAATCTGCCTACTCTGTGTTACTTCCTTATTTATTTATTCATTTATTTAAACACATAAACATTTGTATAAGGAAGCACCAAATAGATATGCGCCACACAAGTCACTTGATTTATGTGTGAGCTGGGATACTGCTCGTTTGCCCGAACAGAAGCAGGTGGTTTTCTTAGTGGACCATACCCGGAGCCTTTGACCTAAAGGTTCTGATCCACAAGGCAGTGGAGCATCGTAAGGAGATCTTTTCATAGTTCATTTTGGTCTTGCTATACACGTTCCCATAAGTGTGAAAAAACTGGATAGTTCACCATAAGGATACTGAAATTTTTTGGTCGGAATCAGTTGACTAGGACAGAAGAAGTAACTCGTGACTTACTGAAAATGCAGTAGCAACTCAATTTAAAGCGAAAATTGATTACTCGCACATGCAAGCTCTATCCGTTTACTGTTGGATTTGGTAACGTAGAGTCAATTATTTCCGCGGGAAATTTGTTGTTTCTTTATGATGATATTCATTGAAACCTAAAAGAAGTACGGTAACTAGTATCACTGACCATCAGTTACTAATCATTAGTACAGTTAACATTCCTTGAGGAAATCAAAGATCCGGCATTACAATGTGAGCCATTAAAAGTGGGAGATAAACATTTGGAACTTCTGGTGATTCCACTCGAAACTAAATACTCGGCTATCGCAATACGGTTGTACCACTAAACAAGCTAAAGACGCTTTCCACTTTTCTGAAATAGATCAGAAAGATGGGTACTTGTTAATTCCATTGTGTGAAACCTGTTCTATCCTAACAGGGAATAGTATGAAGGTTACTGCTGGAAATTATTTATGAACTATTATTACATATATCTCCATTGTATAACTATTAAGTATCTAGACTATATGCATATTTCATATTCCTCTTATCGTAAGCTTTAATGTGACCTATCGGCTACTGTTGTACGATCTATCTCAACAGAGTTGCACCGCTCAAGAAATTGAAGCTACTCTTTATTAATTATGAGAGTCAAGGCATTAATCGAAAATACACATGAAAGGTGAAAATTTGCAAATTCCACCAGATAAAATCCCGAGTGAACTAACATCTATTAATGCCCTATTCGGGCTGTAGAGATACAAGTTCCTGCCATTCGGGTTAAATGTTTCCCTTGAGATATTTCAGAAGTTTAAAAATCAGATTATTACAGGTCTTAATGGTATCAAAATGTATAAAGATGCTACCGAAGCACATTTTGGAAATATTAAGTAACAGAATGAACAACTTTTAAACTTATTCAGACGCTTCTGAGATACATATATGGACGACAATCCATTCAAGTGTCAGTCTCAACTTAGTTCGGTCAACTGCTTGGGCTGTACTGTAGATGCTGATGGTTTTAAATTTGAAATGATACAAGCACAATCACCTAAGAATATCTCAGCACTAAGATTGTACATTTATCTCATTCAATTCTATTCCAGATTTATTTTTAAGTTTGCACAAATGTTATCATCATCTCTTAAATGTGTTTCTAGTAAAGAATTTGTATGAGAACAACGACACCAGTTAAAATAAGGGAATTCTTAGCAGTATTTAATAGTAAGGTCAGTCTCAGACTTCTTTCATAGACGGAAAAATCTATCATTACTACAAATGCGTCCCCATTGGTATTAGGTATGATTCTACAGCGGAATGCGAAAACCGTTAATTTTATTTCGATACTATTAACCAAGGGTGAACAAGGATATTCTCAGGCCCAAAAGAAGGTTTTAGCTGTGGTAATGACAGTAAAATGATTGCACAAGTACCTGTTTTATATAAAATTCCATTTTGTAACTGATCACTAAGCGTTACAATTGAGTTACCATCCAAGGAAGTCACTTCGTTGGTCATCTGCCGACATAATCCAGAGATGAAATTTGAAGTTGAATGCTTGTGATTTCACCATTGTGCACTAAGTGGAAAAAACCATACCACACGCAGGTTTTGTATTGTTGAATTATGGTCTACCTCGGGGTTGATACATTTATCTCCACCAACATAACAAGAAACTTAATTCCCGAATTATAGATATATCATGATGTGACTGTCTAATAAGTAAGATCTTACATGGAGGTTGTGGAGATAGGTCTGGCAAGCTTATTTTGTAAATAGTTTTTAATATTATTGGTATTTATTTTGTCAATTTCTCACTACATGTACATTTATCATTAAATGATTGTACCTGTTGTTTTAGTAAATGACCTTGACCACTTTTTCCGTTGTGATACTAACATAGCGTGACACACTTTTGGTTGTTCGCAAGTACACTATTACACACACACGCTCCTTGTTCTATTCTCACGCGTTATCAAGCTGATCGCATTCTAAATCAAATATTGTCCACATTTCAAACTGCTGTGCCATTTCTATTACACCCTACGTCAAAGAAACTTACTGGAGTCGTATTTACCTATTTGGAATTATTACTCATTTATAATTGTGGTGTAGATCACCAACGTAGATGATCTATGTCGAAATGATTGGAGGCCTACTCGAGTTAGACGTGAATGGTGTGACGAACCAACTAACGTCGAAGTCACACCTCGTGGTCAGCACCTTACGTGGACTACCCCCATTGACGTAACAAGGTACTATAAATGCTTTGAAGACTGTACAACACAAAGGACGTTATTACAGAAATATATTAGTTAAAGTAGATACAAGCGAAAGTAAGACCACTGCCGCATGGGCCAGTCCATGGCGTATGATTAACTAATGCGCGTTTTTTGTACATGACCTTGGCAGGGAGCGACGATCTGTTCGACATTCAGTGATCCAACTGCCGGATGATTTGGCTAGGGCTCAGTGACATTTCACTGGCCCTACAATACTCCCCCACCAGACTCAACGGCCGTTTGAATCGGTACCAAACATGTTGGGAGCAGTCGCGCGCCAGAGAGTGCCAAACGAATATTATAAATCCTCCAGGTATTGCTTATCTGTAAAACAAATGGAAAGGAAGCGGCAGAAACTGGTCGGGAAACAGCGAGTCATAATATGTTAGTAGGACGTTGGTTAAACGTAAAGCGATTAACCATAGAAATAATGAAAAGAACAAAACGTTTTATTGTTCTATCAAGTCGCGCTGAAATATATAGCCTTGACAAGTAATTCAGTTCCTCCGATGACAAACGTTAAGTCTGCCGCAAGAGTAATGATGCTATAGCGATAGTAGGATAAGTGTATTATCAATCGATATCCATATTTGTACTGTCATTAGTTTAAAGTTGTAAGTCGGACAGTGTCGTTGACAGCTATTAATTAGTGTCAAATTCTAGTTATATCTATATCTAACAGACTAACCGTAAGTACAGAAGTATAACAGTGAAGAGTGGTCGTGATTTCGTTGTGCGAAGCTATTGACCAACTTGTAGTCACAGTTTGAAAAGTCGATGACTGCTGTTACAGTCAGTAAGGGTTGAAGGCTACAAATCGACAGCAAAAGGTGGCACGATGAAGTCTCTAAAAGATGATAAACGGTGAATGCTGCGTGTTTGTTCGCTTAGTGAACAGAAAAATATCGAAAAGAACATAAGAAACCAAGAGTGTCACTCTGGACTCATGTCAATGATACCCGTGAAAAACGCTGTCAGTGTTGGGATAGAGGCGACAATATCGTTTTCAGTTTGCAGGAGATTCGCTCGACTGCATAAACTGATGATTCGCGCGAATGATATTGTCGTCAGACCACCAATTGAACTGGACAGGTTGTAAATCGTCGAGTAGTTGAACAGCCGATTGATGTACCGGAATCATCTGTTAATTAACAGCCACGAGGAAACAATACTTCATAAAATGAAGTACGAAATCGAAGTAGAACAACTACAATAGTTCAGATGTGTTACAATGTCAAGTCTAAATAACATCGTTCTTACGTATACTGACAGTTGCACTGAACGTTCGCTTAGGTATGATTGGCGTAACAGTTGGATGTGTGAATAAAAACATATACGAAAACTATGGTTGGGTTCGTGGAGAATTTTCGAGGACGTTTAGATATTTTCCAAACCCGTATCGCATGTAAATAAACCGAAAATAGAATTAAAATGACTGTCGTGTAATAAGGAAATCGAGCCATGATTTACCGTGTGAATTATTAGCAAATACAAGGGGTATAATAAACATTAATTAAAATGGTAACCACCAATGTAACTAAGGTTTAGAGGGTCCAGGTAACGTGGCCATTTCGTAAAAGGCTGATGCAAAGAGCTTATTACCTAGCGTTAAGTGACATATTAAATACGACAACATGTGTACTTGGGATATGGACTAAGCGTGCTCGTGTACATGCAATATGTTTTACCACAGTATGTCGACTAACGAGTCATAAATGTACATGATTTCGACTAAAACTTGACGGC